GGTCTTGTCCACCTATGCCGTTGCTACCCTGGCTATGAACTTCGGCAAAAACATCAAGAGCGGAGATGCAGAGCAAATGGCAACTAGCAACAACCGACCCCCATCCCCCCTCCACCCCCTCCTCAGAGATCAGGACTCAACCTCTCCTCTCAACATCGGACAAAAGAGCTGAACCTCTTTGGGTCACTCATCTCAGCTTCACTGACAAACCTCCAGTGAGAAAACTATATGACATGTCAAAGACAGTCTCGGTACTGGACATCAAAACCTTACATGCAGTACTTCCATTTCACCACAAGATGGAGCACTGGGACTTCCTCATTCACCTCAGGATCTCTGGGAAGCTGCTTGCAGCTCAACAACAGAGGACAACGATGCTATTACTGAACACGACCTCTCATTGTATTAGAATAGAAATGTAATATATTCTAAAGCTCTGAGATTAAGAATTTTTAATACTTTGTTTGGATGTTTTTTTTATGTCTCTGTATTCGCGTGAGAGTGGATTAAAGTGAATACTCTTTTTATACTTGAATGATAGAAAGATATAAATATATTCAAATGACTCGATCAAAATTCTGTCTTTGAATAAATGATAAAAACATTTTCAGTGTGCAGATTTCTCTTCTGAAATGATGACCTGTGTGGAGGTCAAAGGTCAGAGTCAGTCAGGAATCAAATAAAGACTTAAAGAAGGGAAGTGAGGATACCTCTCAATGCAATTACATTTTGAATTTAAATATGGACAATTTAAATAGATTCGACAAAAATGAATATAGCAATACACCTCTTTGACCAGCAGATGGCGCTGTGATCTCCTCTTGTTTACATGGACTTGAGTATCTTGGTTTTAATCTGTTCTTCTTAAAGGAAGAATGTGAGGCTTCTTGATCCAGTAGGTGTCGCCCTTGAGCTCCAGCATGAAACCAAAACAAACTGCTGTTTAGGCCACGCCTCCTCCATACTGAAGCCTCCGCTCTCCTCCAGAGACACACCTCCAACCCCCCCTCCAGGTTTCTCTGTGTGCATGTGCAATAAACCACATGTCCTGAATATGATCAAAACCTGGACGAGGTTTATAACAGAGATTCTCATGTCTGTGTCGTTTAGAAACTACAGAACCTCAAAATAAAATTAAAAAATCTTTTTTTTAATGTAGACAAATACGTCATAAGGGGTATTTTAATTTTTTTTGTCAGAGAATTGAAAAAACAGAATTATTTTTATTTATAAACTGAATTTAACTCATGCCTTCAAAAAATGATAAAACCTTTGTGGTACAATCGCACCGTGAGGCTCAGGATCTTGACATGTATCCTATCCTGACATTTCTTATTAAAACAGGATGGAGCACACATTTTGGTTTCTGTCCAGAGGGGCAACATCTCTTTAAAATTCAAACATAAAATCATTTCCCAGTCCAAACTGGAAGCCCCCGGGCCGCTGCCGACATTTGAACCATTTCTTCTTGGACATAAAGATTAGTTGATGAGTAACACATATTTTGGTGTTTGGCCCATGACATTTAGAGTCAACGAGAAGGTCACTGAGCTCGACCTTTCTTTGAGAGCAGATCTCACACTCGCTGCAGTTGAAACTATTAGTCATTAAAAAGTCCATGTTTCCTTTTCTTTTTTTAAACACTGTGAAGATTAGAAAACTAACGAGATCACTGCAAAGCTTCTCTCTCGTTTCTTATGAAATAAAATACAACAATGTTTCATAATGTAAAAGAATCAAGTGTTACTTTGTTAAAGTCTTTAAATGTGATTCTTCACACTTAAATGTAGAAATCAGTATCTCCTCTGAAAATAACTCTGTGAGTCATGACTGTCTACAATGGGTGTAACACCCGAGTCCCACTGTCTGTGATGTTTTCAGAGTTTTCAGAGTCCTATCTTCACTTTGTTTACATCGCCAGGACGGCCGGCTGACTCCTCCCCTCGTGTATAAAAGTTGTTTAATTGAGGGACTAGAGAAAAGAAGAATAACATACTGTACTCACTGCTTAACTGTGTTTCTAGATCACGCTCATTTCAGGTAAATTTACATGCAGTGTGAAGATACCAGCATAATAAAGATCGCTAGCATTAGCATGCTAACACAACAATGCAGCGCCAGTTGTTTTGGTTTCATGCTGGTGCTCAAGGGCGACATCTGCTGGATCAAAAACATCACATAGAAAGCCTTTAAATGCTGAGTGAGTGTTTTCTCCCGCCCTCTTTCTGATGTTCATCTAACTTCCGGGTCATAAGGTCACAAAACACACACATTCATATGGAGCTTAAAACCAGAATTTCAGCACAGATCTAACGTTAGCGGGAGATTTCAACAGTTTAGCTTTAAATTGGACATTAGTGTTGGTCGGTCTTGGTCTGGATCCCTAAATGTCTCCCTGCATCAGTCTTGGAGCACTCTGGTCTTTGGTATGTCTTGGTCTGGTTCACTTCAACACTATTAGAAATTAGAACAGTTGAATCAAAGTTTTTAATTTTAGTATTTTAACATTTTTCTTCCTTTGCCGATTCTTTCCTATTGAACAGTTTCTATCTCACCCCTTCCACTTCTCTTTGTCGGACCTTTAGTAATTATAAACTCTCTCCACAAAACACATTTGTGACTCAAACTCAGGAACAGTTTATTCTTTCATTAAAATGTTATGTAGAGCGCCGCGGGCAGCTCCAGAAGTAGGCTGCACCCCAGGGTGACATTACTCTCTGTTGGGGAGTCACACGAGTACACAACCTAAATTTCATCCTCTGTTTTAATGAAGAGGTTGTTTTTTTTACACCTTCCTCTCACCTTTGGTTTCTTCAAACTTCATGCAGATTGTTACAGAGATGGAGAAATAGGCCAGTGGAACAACAAATGAAAAGAAAAGTCTAACAGGCGGAAATGAATGTCTGTCAGTTAGCGAGCTGACGGGGGATGCTTGGCCGACGCTGTGTGCCAGCTGAGGGCCGGCCTGAGGCTGGAGCGCAGGCACTGACCCAACCCTGATAAATGAGAGCGACAACAAGGGTACACAGAGAGAGCAGCGAGGGCCCGCTTTGTCCTCGCTCTCTCTCCGTTCCCTGAATAGCTTCTGCACAAAGGATATCGTTATTCCTCCTCTAATTACCAGATGGAGAGCTGTTTGTCTGCGTCCCGCTCCTCTGCTCTCACCCCCAGAAATAAAGTGCTCAGTGGGACGACCCTCAGCCGTTATGAAACAACGGGCCCCGAGCGAGCCCTCATTTCCTCTGTTAGCTCGTATAGGCTATGAGAGGCCATTTCTATCTGCACTTTGTGTTTGTTTAACACCAATACGTCTTGTCTTCTCCCGTCTCCGCCAAAACTAATCATCTCCAAGACATGTCACCGATTTCACAGTCTTGGTTTTAGGCGGACGTATCTAGGCCACGCGAGAGACTCTCCATCTGCTGAGAGAGAGAGAGAGAGAGAGAGAGAGAGAGAGAGAGAGAGAGAGAGAGAGAGAGAGAGATAGATGCACCCGGCCGGGATTAGACTGCTGCACCAGGTCCAAGAGGAGGTGAGATTAAACACTAGGAGAAACAACAAACACACAAACACACGATGGAAAAACACACTCATGGGTCTCAGCCAGTCCAAAGAATTAACTAAATACTTTCAGGGATTACACCTCAGGTTGGTTCATTTGTTTCCCACGTACACAAATTGACCTCATGAGGAAAATATAGGAGCACGTGTGTGAGAGAAAAGCACGACTGACAGATATTTACGAGGTAGCATAAGAACATGGAGAATCCCTAAATAGCAGTCAGTGTTCAAAAAGTCCACACCTCAAGATTCAGAGGTTTGACTACTCTGCTGAAGATGTAAGAGGCGTTGCCATAGCGATGGTATGACCTACAACAACAGCAGTGAATTCATGCAAACATGTGTAAACACACAGATACATTTATGAAATATAATTATTCATTAAAGCGTTTTATTCCACGCCACAGCTCCTGAAGACTCGATGGTCACTGAGCAGTTTTATCCCGTCTGGTTGGATGGTTATGTAATCTTATATCACAAAACAACGAGGTCAATCTGTGTTTTGTTACAAACGTTTGATTGACTGATTGTTTTCAAGTCTACAAAACGAGGCGATGAAGCCGCGAGCCGGTTCAGACAGACAACAAGAGCTGCGTCGTTCTCAACAAATCACCTGACGACACCTCCTTCCCATTGGCGGCCGATTTAAGCTGCAAGATTTCCGCTCTCTCTCTCTCTGCTCCGTCATTGCCCACTCTGACCTTCACCCCCCCCCCCCCCCTCCACCCCCTCAGCATCCACCTGTAGGCCTCACCACTCCTCACATTTCTGCAGCTAAAAAAAAAAAAGACAGTGAGGTCCAAACATAAACAAAGTCCTGCCGCTGCAACATTTTTTGGTAAACATGCCGATGTTGCTGCCTCGTCAAAACACTCTCCTCGTGCGATGTGACAGTGCTGAGAGAAAGGAGATAAACTCGAATATTTAGTCTCATTGTTTGCAAGGTCGACAGCTCCGAGTGCAATGAGACAAAACAATGACCCCCCCCCCCAGAGTTCAGCGTGTTCCCTGTCCTCAGCAGAACACACAGTATTATAAACCTCAGCCTCCTCTAACCCCGCCGTGAGAGAGAGAGAGAGAGAGAGAGAGAGAGAGAGAGAGAGAGAGAGGACATGTGTGACTCAGCAGCACCTTTATTATTTGATACCTTTAAAACAAAGAGCAACATCTCTCCTGTGACTTTGAGAAATTTTTTTTTTTTTTGGGCTTCAATGTTGCTTTGAATAACGGAGATGTAAGGCTGTCAACAAGAAGGATTTGGTAAACATCTCACGGGAGATTAACAAGGAGGGAGTCTTTTCTGTGTGTGTGTGTGTGTGTGTGTGTGTGTGTGTGTGTGTGTGTGTGTGTGTGTGTGTGTGTGTGTGTGTGTGTGTGTGTGTAGGAAAGGGAGGAGGAGAGAGAGAGAGGACTTCCCAGCATGGGGCAGAGGGAGGGGGTGAGCCGCCTGGTGGAAGGGACCGAGATGTCCTTCATATAAACCGGTGACAAAGTGTCGAGCTGCAGCTACAAGAGATCACAGCGCTGCACGCAGAGAGAGAGAGAGAGAGAGAGAGAGAGAGAGAGAGAGAGAGAGAGAGAGAGAGAGAGAGAGAGAGAGAGAGAGAGAGAGGGGAGGACACCGGAGTACCCAGAACAGCCAGCTGGATTTACAACACAACACACCGGAGAGACAGAGGGAACTAATCCACATCCCGGAGCATCTTAAACCCACCAACAGGTAAGAACAATACGCTCGTCTTCTTAAACTGCACCACCACACACACCACAATCACATTTCAACATTATTAAGGATGTCACAGACAAACTTCAGGATTTTTGAGGGTTGAGGTATGAAATATTGTGCCACAGCTGCTATACACTCGATGTTAAAAAACACTCAAACGCCTCGAGGTGGCTGAAAACTCACTAATGAGCGACACAGCACTCTGTAGGGGAAAGGGATTTTTTTGGGGGCAGTTTGTTCCCCAAGGTTATTTATGACATGTGTGTGATGTTACATGTTTAAATTATAAACTATAAAGCCTTCTGCCTGAGCAATAAATATCACATTGTTGTGATATTTTTGATATTTTCAAACTCATTGCTGATTCTTTTGTGGATTCTTTTTTTTTTTTTATTTTGTTGGTATTGATGTGGGACGTCCAGAAGTAACTGTTTGATAAGATTTGATTTAATTTGAAGTAAATCTCAAAGAGTTTCTAAGTAGGATCCGTTGTTTGTTATTTAGTGATCTCTTTGTAAAGAAGTGAAAACTAACTGGAACCTGAAGGTCACAACGTGCACAAACCCTTTCCCTATCTTCTGCCCTTCCTCTCTCATTTCTGATGTTTTTTTTTACATTTTGTGTATCTGGTTATCCCCCGTGTTGAATCAGGGTCACACCTGACCTGTTTGGGACCGTGTGGTCATGTCGAGCAGATTTGTTTTAATTCGTTCACATCTAGGCTGCACGTCGGTCAGCCAGCTCTTCAGATTAAACCAACACGCATGTCATCCAGCTCAGCACGGTGCTCCCGTCCCCCCTAATTAGGCTCAACCCGGGCTCTACTGGGTCACCACACGCAGAGATAAACGGGCCGCGCAGGACGTCTCTCACACACACACACACACACACAATAAGTTACCGTGTGCAGCGTGACACAGGGAGGCGTGGGAACGGCTTTAAACAGATTTAACACCTCGTTATGGTTCTGAAGTAAAGTTTAGTCTCCCTATAAACAGGAAAAACTTCTTCTGACACCCACAGATTATAATACGCACTCAGAGATATGAAATGTGTTCATATATTTTTGGTTTTCTTCTTCCTGCACCTGTTTGCTCATGAACAGTGTTTCAGTATTATGAGAAAATATTTTTAGTTGTGTTTTATTGTGTTGAAACCAAACACTGAAATGAGCAAATACATCAAATATGAAATGAAATGAAATATATTTTTGGTTTTATTTCTGCAGCTGATTCAGTTCAAATGTCTCCTGATTTCTTTTCCAGACTTGTTTTTTGCCGCTGTAGAGATGGCCGTCACCTCTCACCTTCTGCTGTTGATCTGTACATATTTGGCCGCTGAGCTGATGGGCGGAGCCCGCTCAGAGGGGGTGTGTCTTCAGGATGGAAAGCACAAGGCCACACCCGGCCCGGAGCCCCACCTGAGGGAGTGTGGGCTGTATGCTGACAGTGAGTGACCGGCTCTTTGTTTTCCAGACGCTGCATGACGTTCTTGTTTTTCTCCTCTGTATTCTCCTCATCGGCTCGTCCAGCTACGGCAGATGGCCGTCCATAAACGCCGTCTGATTCCGCTACAGATTTCTGCCTGTTACATTGAGTTCAAGCCATGATGGCTTTTGGTGGATTAATGTCTGGTCTCTGTAAAATAATAATACAGCAGAGAGTCCAGACGTGCTCTGTAAACAATGACAGGACTGTGGTTGTGATTTGGCGCCTGAATAAATAAAAATGCATCGTTTGAGTCTGAAAGCACCCACACAAAGGGTTAAATGTTCCCCCAAACTGTCCTGCAGAGTTGACAGCTCCTCCTCACTTTGTTTGTCATCAGACATTAAAAAGCTTTTATTTGAGGCGGCATCGATTGGTTTCTATGCAGGAACAAAAACACCCAAACATTAAAGCTAGACATCAATAAAAAAATACAAAAAGTTAGCGTCTTAAGAGTTGATGCTCACTGCAGGGTGCTAATCAATACTATTCAAATACATTTATTTAAACAACAAAAGGAAGCAGAATCTGTGCTTCAGACATACATACATTACAAGCCGCTGTGTCTCTGATCGTGAGAGGAAATCACAGCATGAAGGGAAACTTCTGGAGCACACACTCTGTGTTTGCATCGGCTGTGTTCACCGCATGCTCCAGAAGCTTTCCTTCAAGCTGGATTCATCCCTGAAGGACTTCATTTGTGTGAACGTTTGCATGCTTGACAACATGATGCGATAAATCTTGTAAGACGATAAATAGAGCGTGAAAAATAAACAACACATAATGCTAATAACGTTTGTGTTATTGCTCATTAGACCACATGTCAAACATAACAAAATGCATAAACAGTAAACCATAAAAAAAATTTAAATAATGGTGTTAATAATAAATGAATAGATCAGCCACGGGGCGCAGACCTAACCTAGCGGTTAGGTTCAGCCCATATTCAGAGGCTGTAGTCCTCCAGGCGGCTGGCCCCTTTCCTGCGTCCAATCAGAGGCGAGGCAGGCCACTGCTTGGTGCCCCAAAGCAGCGGCCTAAAATGTGCAAATTTTGCAATGACAGTAGGAAACCTCCCTAAGGGGTCCCCCCAATTGATTTTTGCCTAGGGCCCCGACAGGCTCTAGAATCGCCACTGCATGTCATTCCCCACTCTCTCTCTCTCTCTCTCTCTCTCTCTCTCTCCCTGATTTCAGATTCCATCCACTGTCCCGTCTAAATGAAGGCTAAAAGCCCCCAAACTCTCCCCGTCAGGGTCGTAACCCTTTTTACAGATGTGTAAATGGACGCCAATTTGGCCGCCCTTCTTATACGTTTTCTCCTTTTACAACCGCTCCAAGCAATTATCACGATATGTCACTTTCACACATTCACACACAGATGGCAGAGGCTGCATCTCAGCCCTGTCAATCATACTAAATCTAAATATATCCACACAAATATATTCCTTCAGGAGCAGCGTCTTTGCCAACAACACTCCCAACACGAAGGCAGCAGGAGCATCGGATCAAACTGCCAATCCATCGATTATTGCTGTGGTATAAGATCTGCATAGTCTGAGTTTCATTATGAGCCGGAGAAAGAGCTGTCCTCTCTTGTCTCCGCTCATCATATACATGTGGACAGAATGAAACCCGGTCAGGATGAGAGCTCGGCCCTGCAGCAGAGAGTGGAGGTGCTGACAGCTCCGCTCTACAATTAGACACATTTAAACACCCAGACGCATAAATCAGCAAAACTTTGCCGCCATGTTTGCAATGGAATATTATCAGTGCAAACAGAGGGGGCTATAGATCCAGAACTCATGATGCTACCAGCTGCAGAGACTCTGCTCCTGTATGTGTGTAACTGTGCGATGTGAGCTGTGATGAAAATGTCTCGTTGACTCTGCTGACTGAATGCTTGCTGAGTGTGCTCCTGTGTCTTTGCCGCTGACAGATAGCTGCTGCACGGATGAAAACATCCAGGATATCTCTCATGTTCCCGCCGATACCAACAAGAATGAACCCTGGGACAAGTGTGGATCCCTGAGCTCTCAGTAAGTCTCCATGACAACACTCAAATTTACACTCTTATTATGAAATCAGCTGAAAGCAATCATTTCTAATCAGTACCTGTGCAAGGCTACTGATTTTGATACCATGGCAACAAAAATAGAAGTCCTCGGCACCCAATATGGGGTCATTTCTCATTTTGACTACCTAAAATTGCAGGCAAACTCCTGCACAAGTACATTGGTAACGTTTGAGAACCGAAATGTCAAGACCAAGACCGAGACCAGGGGCGGGCTGAGACCGAGTCAAGACCATAAATGTGACAGAAAAATCTTCATCTTGTGTGCAGGGGGCGTGTCCCTCACTTAGAGCGGGAAGGCTGTGGTCGTAACTGGGGGGTAAAAATCAAACTACAAATGAATTAAAGTTATTTGTTCTTTTAAAAAGAGCCATGTTCCTTACTAATCACAGTGATGATGTGGTAGTCTTGATTTAAAATCCTGCTTGTGCAACAATTATATCTTGCCAGATTAATAAAGTATTATCTTCTTCTAAAAAAATATCAAGAAGAGAGAAAGCAGTTCAGATAAGGACCCTTAGCTTTACTTTTCCAGTTATTCTTCATATCTTTCAGCAGCTGTTTCTTTACGTCTGCATGTTTATTTCTCTCTTCATGTCACCTGCTTGGCCCGGGGTTAAACAGACGATACCTGTGCAGGAATCAGGCTGCTTCTGCCCGACCTTTTTTCCTGCCGCCGTCACCAAGTGCTAACTCATGTTGGGTCTCTTTAAATAACAGAGCAAAGCCTGCGGTGTTGACCTCGACTTAACAAGTCTTAAGATAACTTCAGTGTCCGTTTGGTGCCGAGTGAATAACAAGTGATTTAATTGATTGATTAATCCTCCACAGTCCGGTCATGGCTGGATTTATCCCCGGTGTTAAGGGTTAATCCTCCTCGGACCAAAGTAGGAGAGATACGTTAGGGGAGAAGTAGGGAAAAGATACAAATTGAGACTCAGAAATGTGTTGATGTCAGAAAGATTTGTAGTGAATAGTGAATTGTCCTGACTTTGTTATATTGTCTACACACTGTATGTCATTTTCATTTGGGTACATTTTATTATGTGATAGTAAATATTCTTACTTTGTTATTTTTACTGTATTTTATTTGAACTTTGTTTAATCTCTGAAAGTGAGGTTGTGCGATAAGCCCTCGTGGGTTTCTACCTCACCTGCACATGTGTTTTATTTTTTATTTGTTTTATTTTTTCTGTTTGACTCTGCTTTCAAAAAATGTGCAAATAAACTAAACTAAAGAGGAAACACTGGAGAGTCCGCCTCCAGGGTCACATAAAGGTCATTACGTCCATCCTAACTCCTCTCTCTCTCTCCTCAGGTGTGAAGGCTTCCTGAAGCGTGTGGCCTGCTTTTACCGCTGCTCCCCCGACGCCGCACGCTGGCCCCACCCCCACCGCCGCTCCTACATCCAGGCCGTGCCGCTCTGCCACAGCTTCTGCCGTGACTGGTGAGGCCGCCGAAAAACACACCGCTAGACGACTGTAGATGAGAATGAGTATGAGGCCGTACGAGTGTCAGGAGAGAGGTTATCAGACAGCAGGCTGTGCTGCATGTCTCAGGTGATAAGGCGACATAAATCAGTTTAGTTTGTAGAGTCAGGTACAAGAACGACCCAGCTAGAGTACGAAGACGTCGCCGAGGATTCACAGGAAGACAAGACACATCTCTGTATCATGGTATCTCTTCTTTTAGGACTTCTCCAGTGAGCATTCAAGACTTTTTGAGACCTTTAAAGGAAACACATCTCCATCTTTAAACTGGTTAAACTATGACCAATAGAATGTTAAAACAGTGTGTTCTGATGAACCACTCAACCTTCTCATACAGGACACAATGGTAAGTGCCATACCCGTCACCAGTTATGAATCTGAGGGCAGAGGAGTTTTAGGATTAGAGGCTTCATGCAAATAAATGACATCATCCTAATGCACGACTGACAAAAACCACATCTTCAACAAGTCTGTTTCCTACAGGATAAATAAACACTTGATTTATTTCTTTACAGAGAGCTGACTTCCTGTTGCAACTCGGAGTCAAGAGAGTTCACAGGGAACTGAAATGTAAATTCCTCATCTTGCAACAAACAAGCCGAAGAGATTTAAATGCATGAAACACTTTGTTTTTCTTGGGGCAGTTATGCTAACAACAAACTTCCAGGATGTTGGTTTGGCCTGCTGCAAAACAGTCTGGCACAAAAAACTGCTTAAAAACGATTTTAAGTTTCGAGGGAGATATTTTAATAGAACATGAATAATTGGCACTAGAGGTTACCGAGGAAACAGCATGAATGACAGCTTGATGCTCTGCCGTTTCAGGTATTTAATTTGAATATCTTACATCTGTGTCTTTAGGTTTGACGCCTGCAGGGTGGACATGACGTGTGCTCGTAACTGGGCCAGAGACCCCAGAGGACAGAACTGCACCGGAAACTGTGTCCAGTACCAGCAGGTAGGCCTGAACCCAAACCATCTATGATTGGCCGCTTACATGAATCTGGACTTTTATATATTTTTACTCCCAGCCACAAGAGCTGCTCGACTTTAAGGATGGTCATTTTTGTCGGTCCAATATGTTTTTGTCCCGTATCTTTGAGCAGTCCGTTTTTAGGTAAGTCCCATGACGGACCTCAAGGTTTGTCATTTAAGCCGTGACAGTGCAGGTCAGAGGTCAAACAGTGTGTATCTGTAGGGTCTGCAGCAGGCAGAGAGTGTGTGTGAGTGGTAACTAAAGGGTTAACAGTGAAGGTCAGAGGTCAAACAGTGTGTATCTGTAGGGTCTGCAGCAGGCAGAGAGTGTGTGTGGTAACTAAAGGGTTAACAGTGAAGGTCAGAGGTCAAACAGTGTGTATTTGTAGGGTCTGCAGCAGGCAGAGAGTGTGTGTGTGGTAACTAAAGGGTTAACAGTGAAGGTCAGAGGTCAAACAGTGTGTATTTGTAGGGTCTGCAGCAGGCAGAGAGTGTGTGTGGTAACTAAAGGGTTACCACACTCTGCCTGCTGCAGACCCTACAGATACACACTGTTTGACCTCTGACCTTCACTGTTAACAGTACAGAGCAGCGCTGTGGTCTGAAGCATGAAGAGGTCCGACCTGCTCCAGTGAACAGAGAGACGCCGACTCATTTGTGTTTCTAAACGAGTCGACTCCACATCCACAGAAACTCGTCTTTGTGTCACATTCAAATGTTTCCCCCTCAGCTCATTCTGACCGGAAACAGTCTGAGGACATGAAGCTGTCAGAGACACTGTTTTAAAA